AAAAAAAAAAAGGAAAAAACAAGGAAAAAAAAAGGAAAAAACTTCAGTCTTTTTTGTATTAATAATTCAAACTTCAATGGAGCACAAAATGAGAAATTTAAAAGAAGTAATTGAACTGTTTCTCCGTGAATATGAGTCTCTTCATTTAAATTTTCAAGTCCAGGAGCAGATATTGAACATGAAGAAAACTACAGTGTTTTTACAAAAACACTGTGCACAAAATACATCTAAGCTTCTCTGGATCAAAAAAAGTTTGGATTTATATTTGGCATAGATGCTAGGGAAATAAAAAGACAGTCAATATTTCCAGATTCCCAAACTATTCCTTTTTTTTTTTAATATGAAAGGACATTTACAAATAACTGTTTCCAAAACTGAAGATGCCATCTGAGAAAGTAAAATAGAGACAGCAAAGTTGGACTTCATTCAGGAGGTGGAAATTAAGGAAAATAGGAGAACATGAAATGCTGTCAATGAAGCATAGAATTTCAGTACACTTCAGTACTTTGGGAGGAAAAGCACTCCAGTTCACAGCTTTGCTATGACTCACAGAAAAATAAAAGACACTACACCAACTTACTGATCTTCTGTGACAAAATTCAGGAATAATACTTCCATATCTATCTCTGAAATTTTTATAAAAGGACCAGAATGGTCACACTATTCAGAATAGAGGTTCCAGTATCCTTTTTTTTTATAACCTGCAGGTTGATCAGTGAAACAGTATGAGAACAGAATGTTTACAGAAACTCTCATTTTTGGCAGCCAGCAAGTTTTGAGCTTCCTGGGACATGCTTTATTACTGGACAAGCGACCACAAGAATTCACTATAGCTGTCACACCTCAACACTGTCAAACGGTTTTTTTTAATGCATTTGTACCTTTCTCCTTAGCAGTATTCTGCATCAATGAGTTCCACAATATAATTGGGATCTACATGAAAAAAGTACTTCCTCTCTTTCAGTAGAGATCTCCTGCCTGATAATTTAAACTTGATGCCCCTTAGCTTCTCTATTATTAAAAAAAGCAAAAAAACATTCCCTATTCATCTTCTCTACACCTTTCATGATTTTATAGATTTCTCATATTCCTTCTATTTTCCAAGCTGTCTAATCTTTCTTTGTCTGAAAAGCATTTCATGCCTGTGATCATCCTTGCAACCCTCCTCTGTATTTTTTTTTTTTTTTTTTAAATTCTACGTATCCTTTTTAATACCGTGTCCAGGTTCCATGCAGTGTTCAAGATGGGGTACCACATAATGAGTGGAATGACTATGTTTTTCTGTTTTGTTCTCAACACTTCATAATTCCTAACATCCTATTTGCTTTGAGGGTTTTTGACCGCCATTGAGCACTAACTGATGTTCTCAGAGAGCTATTCACAATCACTCCAAGATCTTTCCTGAGTAGTTATAGCTCATTTAGTGGCCACCGGTGTGTTTACAGAGTGACTTCTTTTCACCACAATTTCACATTTACCAGGATTGAATCTCATGTTATTTCATCATCTAATCATCCAGTACCATTAAATAATACTCAAAATCATCCAAATCAGCTTTAGATTTAAGTATTCATTATCATTTTAGAAAAATCAGCTACTTTACTTATGTTCTATTAATTCCTTTTTTCTTTTTATTTATTAGTATGTCAGTGCAGAGTTTAAAAACATCACATTGGCTACAACTACTTTCATCTGTAAAGTACAAATATCTTTTTTTTTTCCCTTTAGCCAGTTATTAAATCCTAGGGGATTCCCGCCTCATGTGTGTCACATCCTGCCTGGAAGAGGTGGGAAGGTGTGACCAAGCATACCACAGAAAGTCAGAAAGTGTTTTCTTTAAAAGCATTTTGTAATCTTGTTGGCAGCTTGCTGAAAATCCATGTACTCTTCTATTGACAAGACTTTTTTTTCATGTGATCTCTGAGGCCTTTGATGAATTCTAGCATGTCTTTCAAAACCTGCTATTTAAAAAAACCTGCTATTTAAAAAATAGTGCTGACTTTTATCCCCAAATATTTTTTCCTTATACACAGCTCTAGGAATCTCTCCTGGAGCCCTTTCAAAGGCCACCATATTCACCCTTTTCCATGCCTCTTTTGAGAGAAGCTGATTTAAGCAGTAAGTTACATTCTAGTTGTACGCAGCTTCATATTTGATTTCTTACAAAACTCTTGGCTTAAAATCTGTCTCATCCAGGAAGATGATTACTGTACAGTAAATCAATTTGTTCTAAGATATCTGCCACTGATATGCCAATTTGAGACAGTTCCTCAGATGTACATCCTGTTTCCAAAAAAATAACCAACCATCTAGTGTCGAAGTTTCTGGACAAACTGTATTGGGAAAAATCATTTCTGTTTTTCACACTGGAGCTGATGATTCAATATGCATGCAGCTCACCTATCAAATTCATGAATTATGTTATTAATAGCCATTACAACTACAATTCCCTAAATTCACTTTTCCTTGATCTTACTGTGATATGAAACTTAACAGCAGCTACAATATTCTTTTCTATCTTCCTCATGTAACGCATCTTAATCTTGCCCCAAGCCATCTTACTGTTTCTATCAGCTTCCTTTACCAATTTAAACTATGCCTGTTTGTGATGTAAACATAGCATTTAGGCAACTTTGATTTTTCACCTTAATTTTTGTAGCCTTCTTCATAACTCATTTTTGACTGTGAAAAGAGCTTCTGACAAACACCAACAATTAACAACCATGCTATTTATACTTCGTAACAAATCTTCCACACTGCTCAAAATGAAATTGCACAGAGAGTTTGTCCTTTACTCCAAAATGCAATTAAACTACAACACTTAAGAGAAGCTGGAAGCAATACATTTGAAAATGGTTTAAGTGCACTTGTGACAAACTCCATCATCACACCAGTGCTTACTATGTAAATCACAGAAAAAGAGTAAATAATGAACAGTTCTCCCAACCTAGATACTAAAAGCTCAGAGCAGAGGAGAAGAAAGTATTACATGCGTGACAGAGGTGATGGCACAAGGTGAAACTTAGTCCAAGCTTGTTCAACTTCCATTCTAATAGTGATGGAAAATCTACACAGAGCAATTATGCTGGTGGTTCCTCACTGAACACCATGTTACTGTATACATTTCTAGACAGATGCACTCTTTCACGCTGTCTGTGGAGTGCTTTGTCATTTTTAAAGGCCGATCATATATTTTTACTAAACAACAATGGCACTTTATAGCACATACATGTTATAAACTAATGAAAATGTGCATTTTAACAAAAAGACATGGAGTAGTTTTACTGCGACTCCACTTTGAGTCTCAAAGTTTTGTTTGTCTTTGTTTGCCTGCTGGAGACATCTGTCTTTAGTTCTGGAAATCCATCTATAAAATATTCACAAACAACATTTCAAAAAACTTATTGTTCCTCTACCAAAATTAGGACATTTGGAATAATCTGGTGTCTGGCAAGGTGAGGAAGGCTCAGCTGGGAAAATCGGGCACATTAACAGTCAGGCAAAACCACTTCTCCAGATGTGCACACATACAGCATGTGAAATCAGTGCTCTGAGACCATACTTTGCACAGAGCCCCTGTCTATCTGAAAGCTATCTCTGCATTTCACAGATTCAAGTGAAAAATATCTTTGAAAAATAATTCTACTTACTGGGAGAGTTATTTTTTTCAAGTGGCATTCCTTTTCCAGTAGTCCATAAACATGTTTAGTAATAATCTGGAAGAAAAAACAGTCCAAAAGAGAAAGCAAACAGAAGTTAAATTACCTACATAATTACATGTCCAGGCAGATAACTTGAAGGCTAGTTGGTTAAACTTCTGAGAACTTGCACATGTTTTGCCACATTTCTGAATTCTTTACTGTACAACTAATTATAGAACATAGAGCTTTATACAAAAAGGTCCTCTCTGGCTCTCAGTAAAGACCGCTTGCCAGTACAAAGAAATTGTAACTGTACCTGTGAATCCATCACCTGCTGCTGTGTGAATAATTATGTGCCTGAAAACTAAGGATTATAACCAATTAATATATACTCAGGGGTACAAGAAAGGATCTATTTTGCAAAGAAATACTTTAAAAGCATTTTTTCCTTAAGCAGGACTCCTGAAACCCTGTCCCCTGCAGGTTCACTTCATGAGCTACCTGGAGTGCAGATCTTTAGTCACCCTCAGCACAAGTTGCCTTGCCATTTCTATTCATTGAACTGGGGAGGGATGGGTCAAAGGTATTCCAAACAGAAAAAAAAACCCTGACTGATTTCCCAGTACGGGGGAGTTTAAGTCTCTTTTCTCCACACAGAAATAAAATTGAAGTTTTAGACTTGAAACAAAAGGAATTATTTCAAAGAGCATCAACAACAACAACAAAAAACCAACACAGCCCAGTCACAACCAAACAAATGCTGCCTCAAACTTAACCAAATTGTTCAGACTTCAAAAGTTTATCTCCTGTCTAGGGACATTTTTTTCATCCTTATATACTGTATGAAAATGGAGATGCAGACGGAAAAACTTTTAAACTATCACTAATTTGCAAATTAAGTTGAGGAACAAACTGAAGTGCTTTGTCCATATAGGGTTCTAAAAATGGTTGGGAAGTAACTGCCTGGATTTCACTGGCTGCTGAAGCTTAAAAAGGAAAAGGGGGCACAAATTAAAGAAGAAAAAAATCTGCTCATTAAGAGCTTCAAATGCTCTTATGAAGGTGCTTGCCTTCATTTTAAAGCTTGAGGAACTATGTAAATTTCAGACCGGACAAGATCTAAGACTGGAATTATTAACCTAAGAATATTTGGGTACAAACCCACCTGGTATTCTTTAGTCCAACTACTCAAGGCCACAATTACTGCCATCTGAACCCATAGCATATTAAGCCACAACAGAAATGCTGCTGTAACGAAAGCTCTCAAGTGATGGTATCTTAACAACACACTGAGAACTGAGCAAGTAGGAGCCGGGGTATCATAAACTTCAATTTTAATTTTCCAAATGTAGAATTAACAAATAAAGTTTCAATGAAGTCCAACAGTTTTCATTATGTACATGTGAGCAAACATAATATGCAAACATTTGAAACATATTTGAACAAATTAGAGGTACTGATGAAAGCTAATTAAAAAGTTGTACCTGTCCCCTGCCTTCCCTAATCCTCCACTACACAAAAAACTAAATCTTTATTAGGATTCTGTGAATTCTTTCCTTCCCTGCTCAGATATGTTTATTGATAGAATTATGTTAAAAAACTTTATGGTTTTAAAGAAAATCAGTCTTACTGAACATCACTATCTACACGGAAACTGCATTCAGGGAAGGAATTTAGCTGTGAGCCATGAGTTGATTTAAGACATGTTTATCCCCAAAGCAGTATGTTAGGAACATGCATACAGTGTAATTTTACCCTCAGGGCCAAACTTTTTATGGTTCACCGAAATCAACTTCAGTGTAATGCCAGCAAGTAAAACAGTTAAGTTCCTGCAGTCTCAGATACTGATGCTGTACAGACATTAAAATGAATATAATGATAATATGGCCTCAAAGATAGAAATTTTATTTTTCACTCTAAATCCAAACATCTACAAGCCATCAGAAATACCAGAAGAACCCCTGGAAGTGAAAAAAGATTGCAATGAAGAAAATGTATTTTAGACATTACTTGTAAATTCTCTTTTTTTGAAGCTATGTTACATATCTATATCTTCTATTCTTTCTTATCCATTCAGACTGTGATGTCTTCAGGGCAGATGCAAACCTTTACTGATTTTTTCCAGAACCAGACTCAATGGGGCTCTGATCCTAACTCCTCTTTATGCACTACTCTAATATAATAAACAGTGATATCAGACTTAAAAATTGAATGGTTAAATCAGTAGAGTGCTCCTGTAAAGCAAAGATGTGATCTAATGAATGACTTCAATAAGAGAAGGCATGAAGACAAAAGGTTGAAGTCACTAACGGAAATGGTAAAACTCAGACAACTCAACATCTGAATGGCCTCCAAGGCTGAGAACAATTTGAAGAAAAAACTGTAAACTGCCATAGTGCATTTAAGATCAGAAGAGGTTTTGTTTTTATTTTTTTTTTGGCAGCAGGAGTTCAGTAAGTTCAGGGATTTCAGGGACTTCAGCAATAGCTGGTATACTTGCTGTCAACCTGACAGTTGGAATGACGGAAAATAACAAAAAGGATTTCTTGATATTCATGCTCTTCCAACTCAATAGGTCTGCCAACAAGCAGTATGCTACACTATAATTCAAGGTAACAAGGCTGCTGGTGAGCAGGAAGCACCAAGCGTCTGAGATGAGACGAGAAAAAAAACAAGATTAAGGCTTGCAAAAAATGTGTGAAATCAATGGCCTGGATGAGACAGTAGACAGGAAGAAAAAAATGCCCATTCTCCACTTCTTGCAGGAAACACTGTGAACCTGATTTTAAGTTGTCTTTCCTCTTCATTCAATTCTGAGTGCAATCTAACAGAAAAATTCTAAATTAGATAAATATCTGAACGAAACACTGTTAAGATGTAAAGGTCTTCTCACTGCCTGCTTTGAGAACTGGGGAAAAAAGCAAGAGCAAAGCACATCCATACCTCATGCCCCCTGCTCTGACAACATGGGAGAAATCCTTCCCAGCAACAAAAAGGTGGTTAGCCTCACACTTCCACTCCACAGAAAGGCTGAATTGGTGAACTAGGGGAATCCTTCTTCCCAGCACAAAGTGGTCCTCCTGGGAAGGAGCTAAATGGCTTATACATTAACTTTTTCTTTCAGTGTCTCGCTTTCTGTAAGCCTAAGGATTTTCAGCCTACTATGGACTATGAACTGCATTTAAAGCAGTAAAACCTATGGTTCAGGACAGGAATCAAACCTGAATGCTCAGTTACCCTTCTGAAGAGTACAAAACAATAAACCTTCTGACTTACATCTTATCTATACACTGACAATGCCTCCAGAAGTACTTTTCCAAATAACTAGGGACCCAAAGTAAGACATCTATGAAGTTCAAAAGTCTTATACAGATTTATGTTATGAACAGTAATATTTATTATATCTGAAAAACAATTAAACCAACAATATAAAAAAAAAACTTCAATGATACAAATTTGAATACTAATAGTTATGAAACGTTAGAAATAACATATGAAGATAAAAAATAACCCAACATGGATAGATTTAACTCAACTCCCCCATATGGCTCCACAACCAAAATAACTTTAATTATGGAGCAACCAAGCTTGATTACCTGGACAGTCAGAAAGCACTGAAGATCTTTAAATAGCAGAAGTCTGGAAAAGATGGCAACTGAAATCATGCTCTCAAGGCAAGAAGGCATCACCAAAAAATTTAAGGTAATAAACCTTGAATTTTAATTCAGTAAGAAATTGAAAGAAGTATTCTAAACCATATTAAAAAAAAATACAAGAATAAACTTGACACACAGGAGTAAAAGCAGACTATGTGATCCACTGATTAACCTTTCCATAACACTGATAGCCAGGTGTACACATAATAGATTACAACGCAATGATTTGTTTTGTTACAGCTGCATTCTAATCCAGCTGATAATTTTACTTTAAAGCTTTAAAATACCTGCTAGAATTTTCAGAACGATATAGATCATAACGCTAAAACTAAGTAGATTATAGACAAAAAGCACACATGGTGTGGCATTTTCCTTCTTGCCCAATTCCCTCTATTTTCATAAGGCCATAAGGCCTACCATAAGCAAATCTGAACACCTTCCCATTGTATTTACTATTCTTCCATTAACCTTATGAACCAGCAATACTTTAACCTCAAGGTTGGCCATATCTACTACTAAAATAACACATAATAGAGAAAATTCTCAGCTACAAAATACAGTATTTGAATATAGTCATCACTATTAGCTACGCATTTCCACCAGCGATGAGCAAGTGCCTGCCTGCTGTGCTTGTAACAATCTGTACCATTGGAGGTGCCCTCTGTTGCTGTTGCCACTGCTGAAACACACCACCTACCAGTTCTCTGTGCTCACACTCACTGGTTGGTCTCCATAAACCAAGCAGCAGTATTAGTGGTTGCAATTTTTTCCACTTAGAGAATTCAGCGCCACGCTTTTGCTTCATCTGCACTTCCATATCAGATGCCATTCTGTCAGATTGCCCCTCTGCAGCTATCTGTTGCATGGCAACAACATGTAATGGAATACTGGTTGGGAGGTTCCATCTCTACTGCCATAATACCAGCATCTGTCTCTAACATCATGGGCCAACATAATATAATACGAGGCAATAGTTTTGGAGCAGCCCTCACAAGTACGTTTGACTTGACACTGCACAGTAGAGCAAGAGAAGCTCCCCAGCAGCCTTCTTGACTTACAGCCTCGCTGAATCTAACTTTTTTTAAAAAATGGATCCTTCTCATGTATGGAAGGAATATTATTTTCAAATGATTTAAATACAATCCCTGAGATGTCCCTATGAATTTCTAGGAATTTCAAGGCTGTATTCACAGGCTGAATCTTTTTTAACTAATCAAAGAAATAAACGAGTAAAAACCAGTAGAAGCAATACAATGACCAAATGATCCACTGCTGATACATGCAATGTTCCTTCAGAGCATTATCAGATTTATCTCCTGAATAATAATAAGCACCTTAATGGCAAAAAGAGAAAATGAGCAGGAGAAGAAAAACAATGCTTATAACATACAGTAGTCAACTCACAACTTCTTCCTTTTT